GTGAAAGAGACACTTCAGCAAGATCATGTTTTTGAGTAACATTTTGCTTGGAACTCCTTATAGCTGTAGCACACAAACATGCAAAAATAAAGCTACAGTACTGCTTTGTTATTTTCTTCAGGAGGAATAAACATTTGTTAACTACTTGAAACAATAAAGAAACATCATTGATGGCAAAAGAAAAAAAGCTTGTCCATGGTTTGTTTCTGAACTAGAAAAAAAAAATAATTTCCTGCTTACATCTTTAAAAGTTTTACTTTCTAGCAAGAAAATTGATAATATTTGCCTCAGAGATGTTGCTTTTCTGAAAACATTGCTCAATTTTTAAAACCATATCAGAACAATAATGAAATTTATGTTAAATTAATCTACATAAGCAAGTTTGGTTGCAGTTGGCAAATTTCAATTATCTGTGGATGACAGATTACAGGAAAGCTAGCACACTAAACTGCCATGGTTTTTCCTCTTTAAAGCTAATAATTAAGTTTCTAATGCCTGATTATTAGTTAGATCTGCTTACTAGCTGGTATGTCACCTGGCACTAGTCTATAAGAGCTAAACTGGGATCACAGGTTACAGATCCTTCTCCCCCAGAATGATTTCTCCAAACAGTTCTGTATTACCATACATAGCTGTTTCATATACTAGCAATGAAACACAGAGGCAGCACTTCCACAACTGAACAGGTCCTGTTAAGGAACAGGAATTGGCTCTCTAAATATGAAAAGCTGTAATGTGTCTTTGGGCTAACAGAACCACAAACCAGACAATAATGCAACAATGTAAAATTCAACTTTAGTAATATTGTGCAGAGCTGAGGATTCAGCAGAAGAGGGTGAAATATTCTGCTGGTCCCTCCTTCCCATCCACTCATCCTTCTGTTCTCTGTACTGGCTCAGAAAATTGTTACAGGTTAAAAATAACTCTTTCCATTTACTCTGTGCTATCAAAAATACTTTTAACTGATTAAGAGTAATTCTTTGATCAGGTTCTCTGAATGGCCACAAGAAAACTTGTATTTTGAAAGTACTAAGACAGCAAAACCACATCTCTATTGTTTGGTCACACAAAACTATAAAACACCTTCTTCTACAGAGAACATGGATATGTAATAACTATACAGCCTGTAGATATACTAGATTCCAATGCCAAAAATATAACAAGGGGAAAGCCAGATGCCACTTTTAAAAGAAGTGCCCTATAAAATGTAAACACTTCCTAACTACTGCATAATGACAAAGTGTTCACTTATTGTGTTCTACAACACAAGAAGGACATGGACCTGTTGGAGCAGGTCCAGAGGAGAGGCACAAAGATGATCGAGGGGCTTGAACACCTCCTGTATGAGGACAGGTTGAGAGTGCTGGGGTTGTTCAGCCTGGAGAAGAGAAGGCTCTGGGGAGATGTTATTGTAGCTTTCCCGGATCTGAAGGGGACCTACAGGAAAGCTGGGAAGTGACTTTTTACAAGAGCTTATAGTGATAGGACAAAGGGTAATGGCTTCAAACTTGAAGAGGGTAGATTTAGATGAGAAATTAGAAATGCTTGTAAGTATGAGCATAGTGAGACACTGGAAGAAGTTGCCCAGGGAATTTGTGGATGCTCCATCCCTAGATGTGTTCAAGACCAGGTTGGATGGGGCTTTGAAAAATCTGGTCTAATGGAAGGTGCCCCTGCCTGTGTCAGGGGGGTTGGGACTAGGTGATTTTTAAAGTTCCTTCCAACCCAAATCATTTTATGATTCTATGAAAAGTAGAAATGAAACCAGGTGGACTCAAAGTTGTAATTTCATTTACCTTTTTACACAAATTTTTCATGACTGGTAGTATTTTTCATATGAAATACTTACATCTTTAAAGTATCGTTGTAAAGTTGTAAGCCTCACATCATGCAGTGCTGCACAGGTATCCCAAGGGTATATTTGCTCCTCTTCAGTAGTCGGTAGTTTCTTTGGCTCAGTGCTATTGCGGCATTGTCCTAACACTGTATGAAGAAAAGCAGCAATAAAGAATGCAATGGATAACTAGGTTAAACAACTAAGGGAAAAAAAAATAAATCAATGCCTTTGCTGATGTTAAACAGTAAAAAAAAATCGTTAAAGAAACTAAGTACTGAAAGCTGTGCTTTTGTACTTGCACATCACGTGTATATATACATACACAAACACACATACATACATACATATAGATACACCAATGCTATTTTATTTTTCTTTCGATACCTATTTTCTTGAAGGTCTGTTATATACTGTTGGGTTTGCAAAACCTAACAGGAACTACGAGGGAACTAGGTCTCTTTTCCCAAACATTAAAAAATTTTCTCAGTACCCTTAGACCTACACAAGTTCCTCACAAAGAATCATCCACAAAAAAAAAAGGAGACTGTCTTCACAGGTTCCATGAGAGACGGTATTATTTACGCACAGATACTAAAAGCTACGGACACACCACTTGCCCAACAAGTCACACACTCATACCTGAGGATGCTTGTAATAGTACAACCAGCCCTGTGGGTCTGTCTTCAGTAGAAGGACCACTTTGCCCACAGATAACACAATCATATATTGCCTCAGAAACATGCTGTTCTGATGTAGCTACCTCCATGGCAATATCAGCATCTGGTGACTCTAAAAAAGGGTAAGAAAATTGATATTAAACAGAGGGAAAGAAATCCAATTGCATCTGCACTGAGGTAGTGACACAAAAAAACTCCAAAATAATTTATTTAATTTACCTACAACTAAAACATCAACAGTTACTTGAAACTAACCTTGATGCTTCCAACAGAGACACCTACACAATGAAGTACCAGTTTTCCCGTACTCAAAATTATTCCGAGTGGAATTAAATGTTTAGTTCAAGTTTTGTAACAAACTTGATCTCTTTAAAGCTTCTATAAAACAGAAATCTAACTACTATTTCTTTAGATACTATATATTGAAAACTGAACACAGAAATGAAGGGCAATGAATATGAACCTATTAAAACCAGATTTGTTCATAAACTCTGACAATTAGAAGGAAAAAATTAAATCTGGAGACCTTAGAAATAATTTTAAGGTGCTTAGACAAGGTAAATGAAACACACAACTAAAAATGGAGGTTTTAAATATAAAACTTAGACAATCTTTAAAAATGTACGGTGCATTAAGAAAGTAATCTGCTGCTATGCAGCAGATCACAGAATCACAGAATGTTA